TGCCTGAAACCTTTCTGCCTCCTTCTTTTTGTAGTTATTTGCTTAGTGCATTATCATTAACATCTATCCAGTCTATCTAAAAAAACTAATTTAACTAATTAACTTTTAAAACATATGTTATTTTTCCTACAGTCAGGGAAAGAGGCTTTACTCGAGAATTTTTACATTAATTTTTATTTGGAAAGTAACGCAATGCTACAGCAAAATGAAACAGGTTACACTAGGGTGGAACTTCAAATCCTACCTGATTATCTTTTGAGGTGAAATATCAAACAGAGATACATGGTGATCTGAATAGCGCAACAATCCTTAACGCTTGTTTCTATTTGAGTACAAGTTTCTGTTTAAACAAAGATGAAACTGATTATTGCTAATAAAGACCACGCGTTTACTCTGTTTAACTCAGTATTCATTAACTGGTTAACTTTTCAATGTTTTTTTTTTTGATTGGATATACTAAAATAAACTTCAGCAAATGAAGATGTGCAGATGAATAATGTTAACCTCTTAAGGGAATATAATCGCAATAGTCAAAYATTGCATACTATATATTGATAGTCTGCAGTGACTGATAAGCAGAGCTTTTGTTTTTAAGGTCAAGGGATTCGTACGGATGTTGTTCCTGTTGAGCCACAGATTCCATGTCCTTGGATTTTGTACGAAGAGGCTCGTACGTCGGACCCAAGCCCTCTGGTGGGCTTCCTGGTGCTAACAGATTGAGCTCTTGATATTGACTTGCATCGCCAGAAGAAGAAAAAACAATTCCGTGGGCACTTGGGTTTCCAATCGCTTGTTGAACRGCTTCGTATTCAGGAATTGATTGGGTTACCTGTGGTAATACATTGCCTCTCATCTCAATATTCTTCAATAAAATARAAATGAATCATTAAATATCATCACAGAAAAGAGCAGWAATCCTTTAAAACAGAAACGTCGCATTTCTCCCCTTTTCTTCTATCTTGTGTTATTTACATGAATATATTATATACGCATGGATTAAACATGGTTTATCTATTTCTGCATATGGTATTTGTACAATCGCCCACTTCCTATATGTCAGAGCCAGTAGCAAATAGCGAGGCTGAATTGGCGCGAAATTATCTAGCCGGTTCCGGCGAAGAAATGTTTTTGAATAACTTCCTTTGTAAAGGAATCGAAAGGAAAGTTCATCATACTCAATCAACTTGGAAACATAAGTGGACTGGCCTTTTCTGACCGTGCTCGCAATACTGTACTGTTACCCAGTCTAGCTTCTTTTATTTAAAGGGAGGGCGATAAACATATACATGTACCTTTCTTATTTGGAATTGGAATGACAGTGGATGAATAGCTACTCTGTAGAAATGCCACTGCTAAATCCCATTTATTATTTATTTATTTATTTATTTATTGTTTATTTATTTTTAATTAATTAATTAATTTTTATTTGCACTCATATGTGCCTCTTGTTCGTTACCTGACTCCTCACATTCAATTCCAGAAAAAAGGRCTACATTAATGTTTTAAAACATTGGTAAAAACGGATCAGAATAATCAATAAATGCTTAGTTTGCGCTATCTTAATGTGATACAAAATAATAGATATAGGCTGATACCTCGTAACTTTGTCCTTTTGTCGTTGTCCTGATCAATAAACACAAAATTATTTCAATATACAATCGGCCAAATACTTTTATATGAAACGTATCGTTTTGTCATTGCAATAACATGGTATCATTGGGTATTAACGGAGCGTCATGTCAGGAGACTTTAAAATAAACAAACAACTATGGTGAAGAAGTGGTCTTATCTTATGCGCTTATAATGTTAACATACCTTGTTTTATTCCCTTGATCATTTATTACTGTAAAAAGTTCAGGATAAATTAATTTTCAAATAAGGGCTACCAACCATCGTTTAACTCGTAACTCATTTTCATAGCAAACAATAATGATAACAATTAACGACATTGCAATGTAATGGCTTTGAGTTTAAGACCCATTATTTCAATAAAGTACTGCAACACAATAACTCACCTCTTTTATTGGCCTTTCTCCATAAGAACACAAATAGCAGTACATTAAGACAAAGAGAGAGAACAAGGAGAGACGTGATGACCCCAACAACTGTGTCTGTTGAGAAGATTACGAAAATACATATTATGTTGTTTGGCAATATTTTCTTTCTTTTTAGGTATTTTCTTTAATGATTTTTATTTTCATTTGTTATGTTTTTTTCTTCCTCTTATCTTTCCCTTTTCCTTCTTTTTAATTTCTTTTTCTTATTTTTGCGCTGTTTTGTTCGGTTTTGTTTTCTCTTACTGTTTTGTGTCTTTTTTCTGTTTCTTTTTTCTTACAAGTTTTCCCCTTTTTTCTCTATTTCTATTGTAATTTTCATTGCTTTTTTAGTTTTTTAGTTCATTTTGAATCCGTTTGTTCTATTTTTATTTTTTTTATCCTCGTAAGCATTCTTACCATATTTCGATTTTTCAATTTTATTGCCATCTATTCTAGTGCCTGAAATAAAATCAGGTTAAGATTAATTAGGGTTTCCGTTTTATCCGGCTTTAATTTAACAAATTGACATCAGATTTTTATGCGTCGGTCCTCTTATTGACAATAAATTGCGTCATCACATTGTCAAAGTAGCGTGGATCCACGAGGCGTGGCCGAGTGGATCCCCATTCTACTTTGACAATGTGATGGCGAAACGTTAAACAAACCTAAACAATGTTCACTACAATAAATTCCACAAAGAGACCAGTAGAAACTCTTTATTTTTCAATGGTGACAAATCATCGTCGTCAGAAATATTTCTCGCTATCTTATTGGTTGACATAATATAAACAAACAATTTTACAATAACTTACAAATTGCTCGCGCGCTGATTGGTTATTATTTATCATCAATAAGAGAACAGACAGATAAAGCTGATGCCAATGGAGCCTGCGGTGCTTGTAGCGAAATTTTGCACGAGGTGGGAGCYTTGCCTTGCTCCAGTGCATGGGAAATGATCTCTGAACAATTCTGGAGCTGTGATGTTGATGGCCGACGGTTGTAGCTGGCTAGACTTTCTTCATTTGCWTGCCCAGAAATGATCATAATATGTCGATGGGGGTCGCTCGTACACAATGGTTTGT